GCCCAATATACATATTTTGCCTCGGCTAGGTGTGTCTGTAGCCATTGGAGCAGAAGGGGCGTTTTCGGCCAACTATTTTCTCGACTGCGGAGGGTTTGAAGTGGGCGCATCACGCTTATATGGAGGAGCTTCTAATACCTTTTCGCCTTGAAACCGACTATAGTGAAAAACAAATGACTTTTTAGTTAAGGTGATTTGAATAATATTATTTATATATATGATTTATTTAATTTTTAATATTATTTTTTAATATTTCAATGAGATGCGCCAATTATCTTGTATTAATTTGATCAAAAACAATTCGGGCGTTTCGTCTTGCAGTGACTTACCCGCGATCCCATATTTGAAGAAAGGCGATTTCCACGTCCGAAAGGAGGCTTATCAAAAAAGGAAGCACACCATTTGAACTGCAATGCTTAAACGTAGATTGTTCAGTTTTATTGTAGTTTTCCTTAGATTCAGATGTGTTCCATTTTGTACCGTACCAGTCTCTTTTCATGAAGTAGAGACATGCATGCCACACTTGTCCGCAAACATCATCAGGTACGATGGGGACGAAATGACCTCGGAGTGCATCCTTCCAACCGAATGGGCACTGCACACCCTCGAGTGTGGGATGGTAGCTCAGTTCGCCCCATCGGCGCTAACATTTGTAGTCGTTACTGGCACACAGCCAAACACGGCGTGCAAAGCGGCAGTGTAGAATACCGTATGTCAGCCGTGCTAATATGATCGGGAGACCAAATGATCGGGAGACCAAATTCCTTGCGTCGTACGGCGCGGGATACATCGTTGTCGCTGCCCCACAAAACAAAGGCGGGTTGAAAAACCGTGAAACTTCTTTCCCGCAAGACTTGACGTTTAACTATTGAAGCACTTAAAAAGGCGATGCAGAGATTTTTCCGTACTTCGCACAAATACCGCTTAGAACGGATCTCTGGCGGTAATGACCTGTAAAACACCCGCTCGTTTTTCACCACAAGCAATCGAAATCGCAGAAAAAATAAAAATACGGGCAGCGTTCACTTCCTCAACTTGAAGCCAGAACGAGCGGCCACGCGATATTGAGCCGATTATATGCCTCCTATGTCGATCACGGCCACGCGCTAGGGTCGGCAAGTCACAGAACACCCACTGAGTTCAAGACATTGTTATTGTTCGGCTATTGTCATCATTGTAGCGACTGGACACAGGCCACTACCCGAATGCTTCTCGAGCTATCGATCATCACGAGCCCAAATCGAGTCAAATCAAGCAATGCTCGGGTCCAGTATATGAGCCGCATTCAAATATCGTTACTGGAGGATACTGCGATCTCCAAGTTACGTCATCGAGTTTCGCGAGGGAGAGACTGATTGAAAACGCTTGATTTGGTCCGTGACATTACACCCCAACAAAATGGTTCCTAGGCCAGTGGCGTTGCGTGCGAGTATCCTTGAGTCCCACTAGTGCCAGCAAGCTCGTGTAAAGTGAAAACATTCCAATCGAATATCTCAACCCAGTGCCACCGCACCGTTCCGACTTCAATGCGTACACCGATGTATTCGGTGTAGTTTCGTTTCGCTGGGGTTCTCGCTGCCTGTTTCTGACAAAGGCCGCACGGCAGCGCGCAGGTCTCGTCGCACGGAGCGTATAGACCAGTGTCCGCGCCAATTCCAGGGCGCCGCCATGTTTATCTACGCTCGCGCCACCACGCGGAAAGAACTGGCAGGCAGGAGGGGAGCGGCTGCGTTGGCGGCGTTGCCTCGGGGAGCTGGATGCGGCAGGCTGTCCGAATGCACCGGCACATCGTGAAAGATGTTTTCACCAGAAGCCTCCGCAGCCCGTTCTTCAACTGATAAGATGTCGTGAACATTCGAGAACCCATCTCGATCAAGAAAACAAGAGAACACCTTTCTTGTCTTAAATGTTCTCGGTGTCTGCTGACCCTTGACATCCGCGTTTCAGTCCGGGTTCATTGCGTAGTAAATATTTCGCTACCGCTTTCTTGGAGCTTTCAAATGCTTGATTGTTGGCTTCTTGTATACGACATTACATTCGTGGCACGTTCGAGACCGATTTTCGCGATCTGCTTGCCTTTCTGCGGCAGCACGGCTCTGCCGAGCCGAAATAAGTGGGAGGCGTTCACTTGATCGAACGCCGTTTTAGAGAATGAAAACGAGACCACGACGTTTCATCGAATGACTAGCGAATGGGTCTAGTTACAGACAGCTCAGATTAGCTTTCTTTTGTAATGTGCCGCCTTGTCTGCCGCCGCGAAGCGGCGTAAACGAGGGCTCCGAGTATGTTAGCACGCGTCCCCCCCCCCCCCCCCCACGCACACACACACACACGCGGCGAGCGTCTGGGTTCGAAACTATTAATTGCCAGTCCTAAAGGATAGTACTTACTTAAGTGGGAGCTGGAATTCTACGAGGTACCAGGAGACACTTACTATCGGGCAACGAAGCAGGGTGCCTGTGGGGGCGGAATCTAGGAACGCTACTGATGAATATTGTGACAGGCGATCAGTTATGATAACAGACGAAACTTCGACTCGTTTGTTCAGAAGTTCGCGGTGATATTTTATTAGTCCTGGTTACAGAACACCAAAGAGTGAAATTCACATCACGCAGGCTCGTCCGTCGTAGTCAAGCGAGCGCAGTCGACGACGAGGTGTAATGAGCTACTAAGCTTCACAAAGAAAATGCGCGTGAGAAAGAGTTTTGAGATAGTCCAAAACACCGATCTAGCAGATGCACGTACCTAAGTACGTTTACTCCGGACTCCATGAACCCGACGGCGCAAGATCAAAGAGCACCGCCGCCATCGCCACCCGGTTTTCTCTGCATTTTGCGCGACAACGGCATTGCAACGGAGGGCACTCGCCTCGGCGTCAACAATCCACGAAATAGATTAATTTCCCACTCTTGAAGCCATTCCAAATGATAAATGAAAATACCTCGGCGTTGTAGAACATCTGACGAGACAACGGTGCCGAGCGCATGCTCGGCATCGTCGTTGCTCGTGAAGGCCTGCTTATTTGTAGTTGAGACGATGATTCCACATCTTTCGTGCCACTCGTGGTGCTTGCAATGACTTCGGAGGGCAGGGGAATCTTCTCACGAGGACGTTGAAGGCACGCAACACCGGAGCCGTCAAAGCAATCGCACAAACCGTCGCCATGTTTGCTTTTTCTTCGTCACTCGCGGCGCGGTCAGCTCGTTGCGAGATGTTTTCTGGCTCGGCTAGATGGAAACCAAGAGCGGCAAAGTGGCGTATGGTCACACGGCTCTCACCATTACGGGCACTATACTCACATACCGCGGTAAACAGGACCGATGCCGGCGAAACGGCAGTCGGCACACCAGCGAAGAAGCCCGCGGCGGGAAGCAGCGGCGCAGGCCGACGCAGCCCCCCCTCCCCGTGAGCGTCTGGGTTCGAGATTATTCGCTTTTGCTCCTTGCGGTCGAGGCTAAAAAGAGCACTTCCGGACAAAGGTCTATATAGGGACCGTATTTGCCACAGCACACTAGCGCTAGCTGAACCTGTAGCGTGCATTATAATAACTCTATGGCGAATACCTCTACTGCCGCCACACGCTTTTCTCTCTCCCCCCCTCTCTTCTCCTGAACAGCCGGGTTCGGTTCTGGCTGGTAGGCTTGTGAAGTGATTGTCACGAGTTGAAACAAGCGTGCGTGTCGACCTTCGTACGCTCCGATTATTTTCTCTTTTGTTGAGCGCCACGTGCTTACTCTGCAGTTCATTCTGCACGTTTTTGCTCCTTTCTGTCAAAAACAGAAGCCGGGATCGTCAGATGTTTCCGAAAGAGCGGCTTTTAGAGAACCCATCTGTGCACGGAGACATTTTACATTTTCTAATCGAAAGCTGAAATAAATAAAAATAAAATTTGTCTCTCCACCTGTCTCCCAAACGGTACAACAGGATTAAACCAATTAAAAATGAATAAAGGGATCTAATACGACCAAAAAGAATATTTTGATTTAAAAGCCAATCAACAAAGGAAGACATGGAGGCGGCGAAACTACTATATCGGGTACGGGCTTCTTGTTTATCAGCGGGCTTTTTTCGAGTATGAAATCGGGGTAATAATGGCGTAGTTTAAAATATCGTCTATCTAGTTTTGTGCTTCTTGGCGATGTGTCTTCTTTGAGACGACGACGAGGTTTTTTGGTTGGTTTCGTTTGCTTGTGTTATTATTATTTTGTTTTCAATCTGTAACATAAAAGAAGAAACATATGTAAAATTGGTTGTAGCACGATTCCCCCGGTGGCAGTTCCCCCGTCCCAAATGCCCCGTGCCATTTCCCCCGAGTGTCAAAATCCCCGTTGTCAAATTCCCCGTGTTGCCTCCCCCGAGCGCCAGCACCCCCGTATCCATTTCCCCCATTTTGTAACTTTTGTGTGCCTCTCTATCCAGTGGCAATCAGTTGATCGAACGACGTTTCATCGACATATCGTTTCATCAAAAGTTTGTTACACCGACAGCTCGGATTAGCTTCCTTTTGTAATAAGTCGCCTGTGTCCGTCGCCGCGAGGCGGCGTGACGGATGGTCCGCCTGGATTAACATGGGTCCCTGTGACGCACGTGCGGCGAAGCTAGTTTTTTCACGAAACATGGTGTCGATGAAACGAGTGTCGACGAAACGATACGGACGCCCGTTGATCACCTCCGATGTTCTTTGAAACCAACGCACACTGTTATTCCGTGATCCTGTGTTAGTTCAGTGCTTGACAATATTGAAAATTATGGGAGATTTATTAACATGTTAATGTATACAGTTTTGTTGAAGCAATGTCCACTACTTAGATACCGCAATATCGCTGCACCAGCCTCAGGAACCCCTGAATGTTGAGCCGTCGATGAACACTTCAACCATTTCCGAAAAAATTAAAAAGCAGCTCCTGCGGGCAAAAGCAAAGAACACGGCCTGCACTTATGCTGATGTCGAACAGCAGGAAGTCTCGCTTGTCTAGTGTCTCCGTATGTAGTCTTCCAAGGTTAATCTCGGCCATGTCCCTTGGTAGGCTCGGTTGCTGCTTTCTTTACTCCCTGCACATGGTGCTCCTCACGCTCTCAAAAGTCGGCAGCTCAGCCATCACCGTGTCGTCAACCTAGAACAAATTGGTCACGTCACAAACAAGGTTCAATCGCGGACACCATGAACACGTATACGCGTGTAATAAAACATAGTATGTAAAGACGAGACAATGTTTTTGCTTACTTGACCCACAAGGCTCAAGATCTCTCTGCTGTACACTTGCGGTGCTGGCAAATGCGGCTCCGACCTAACCTTTTGCTTCAGTGCATTCTTTAGTCGCGCTCCCCGAAGTGGGCTGCTATCAGGTGGATGGTTGTGCTCTGAAACACATCGACGTGATGATAATGAAAGGCCGCAGCAGATTTTAGCCTCATTCATTCAGTGCCCTTCAAGCTGAACAGCAATCCGAGAGTTTGCGAAAGTAAAAAAAGAAATGTATCTTGTTAACGTAGCAGCTTGGGCGAGTTGGTTGCACATGATTACACACACCACAGCGCACTATAGCAAACAACACTCACACCTCCGTGTGTAAGGTGTGAGTGTTTTTTGCTATAGTGCGCTGTTGTGTGTGTAAAAAAAGAAAGTCATTAGCTCACCTTGTGTTGTCTTGACGACTTTCCCGTGCTTCCTGAGAACTGCTGCTTTGCAGTTATTTGTCCAGTATTTAGCACATCTCCAGGCAGTTTTCTCATCTTGGTCCTTCCGCTGAAAGCAATACTTAAATCCGTCTAGTATTAAGGCCTCCTTCCCTTTTTCCGTTCTTAAAAATTCGACCTCCTCAACCTCGTCTGGGAAGCATCCAATGTTGAAAGTTCCTTCAATAGAACTCACCTGGTCGCGTTCGAGGTTTCTTGGTTCTTGTTGACCCTCGGTATGCACTTTTTCTTTCGTCCCGTAACGAGAATTGGGGGCAGAGGATGGGGGGAACTGATAAGGGGATGGGGGCACGGGGTTTTTGGAACCCGGGGGAAATGAGGTCGGGGAAGATAACACGGGGAATTAGCTGCGGGGATATCGACACGGGGGAATCGGGATTGGGTTATTTCGTGCACCACCCGTAATATTGGGCTCTGTTAAATATGACTGTTTGTTTTCTTCATTAATCTAAATTATTTTTTCAAACTTTTTTTTTTGTATTCTAGAGCTAAAATATCGTCAGAATGAATTTGAATATTTTCCTCCAACTTAAAAGATAAAAAAAAAAACGACGGACGTGATGAAGGAGGGCACAGTGATAGAGTGACTTTGTTGCGAGGGGCATAATTTCCTCTGCGTTCCCTCCAATACACCTTGATGCAATTCCAGACAAAGTCCTTTTCAGGACCCCTCCTTATTTCCTTTGTATATACATTAGGCTACTACAAAACGAAGTCCTTTTCACGTCTCCGCGCCCACCCCACTTCTCGGTTTCTGCTTTTCTCCTTTTCTTTTTTTTTTTCAAAACATAATATTTTTTTTTCTATTTTAGGTAAACTTCCGAAACGTGGGGGGGGGGGGGGGGGGGGGGGGAAGGACAACACAAAGTCTTAAGAGACTTTGCGTTGTGTTGTTCTTGTTTCCCCCCCCGTCCGGGGTTTTGGCTAAAATGTTAAACTATCACCAGCTACTTTGCGCCCTAACTTTTTGTTGCTTAATATCTAGTTTATTTATAACCTATTTCTTTCCTCAATCTTTCCACCTCTTTTTTTTTTTTTTCATTTCATTCACAAACAATAGCATTAGGACACTTTTTTTTAAGCTAAGAGAAAGCCCGAGGCTGCGGAACTAGTCCGCGCCTCCATCCTTGAGTATTGAGGGGTCTTCCATGCATGCAATCTTCTAAATCTATCTCCAATAGGAAGCCAGGGTTAGGAACTGGTCCATACCCTGCTGACATTAAAAAGGGTCTTCCTTGGACATGCTAATGTTTAAAGCTTACTGGGTGCTCGAGGCTGCGGAACAAACACTGGGATCTTTCTTTCTTTTTTGCGAGCAATTTGGTTCGTTATTTTAAAGGAAAACATGAGCTTGGATGTTTCCGTCTCCTCTGGTATTACAAAGTTTTCCTTCGGACATGCCTTTGATCTCACCGGTATGCCCTTTTCAGGACTTTGTTTTTAACCAGTCTAAAGTAAGCTTGGTTTTTCGAGCTTTCGTTCCTGTTTTCTTCTGCACGTGCTGTTTTGTATTAGTTTTGTGAAAATATGAGGCTTTCTAATTGTTAAACAACAATGAATGGGTTTATGTTATAATAATATATTTGTCCTTTTCTTTACACTTTTTTATATTTTGAATTCCTCTTTCCAAGTGTTTTCTTTATTTTATCTTATCATTCTTTTCATAATTTCCACCATTATTGCCGCATTCGAGATTGAATCGATTAATTGTTATTTTCGAGCTATATTCAGGTTTGTAATATTTATTAAATTAGCTTGTTTTTTTTTTAGATTCGGACAAGTTAAAAAGTAATGCTTGATATCACGGCATTCCATACCACAGAAACATTTGATGCTGTTCTTGATATTAAAATAAAAAAATAAAAATTAAGTGGAAACCTTCCAGGATTTGTTAATAAGTGGGTTAAAAATATATAGATTAAAAAATGAGGGATTTCTATAAGTCGACGGAATCGATTGGAAGACTGCGCTTTTTGTTCCTTCTTTCTGCCACTGAGCCTTCCATAAACCATTAACTTTTAAAGTTATCTTTTTACGTATTGATTTAATTGTTTAAGAGGTAAAAAGATACCCTGGTATCTAGCAGATCAAGCATTAAGGTCAGCTAAATCATTACCTAAATTATCCGAATAGCGTTTAACAAAATAAAATTGAGAATTGCAATGAGTATTTAATACATCAATTAGATTTTTAATTTTATTGATTATTTCATTTAGATTGACATGGTTATTTAATAATTGTAGTACAGATGATATATCTGTAAAAATGTTACAGTCTCGTGTTGTTTGTATATTGATTAAATATTGCATTGCTTTCAGCATTGCTATTGCCTCTGCATCCTTAAATTGTGTTATGTTTATTTAAGCCATATTTTCCTATTTTCATTCTACATTCATTAGATTTTATTACAACAAATTCGGCCCCAACTCTATTTAAGCAGACTGAACCATCCGTAGGAGTGTTTAGTGTGTTTATTTTTCCTTGGAAGGTTTTAAGATCGTCTATTCTATATTCTACTGAGTATCTAAGCTTGGGGGTGCACACCCCATAAGTTCATCGGGTATTGAATATTTTGGGGTTGTATTAACCATTCTTCAAACTTGCATTCCTCTTTTGAAATAAATTAAACATAAAAGTTTCTAAATCCAAAGTTATCGTTACTGGTATGATATTACATAAAGCTGGCAGACTGACATACGAGGCAGTGCGATAAGCTTGGCATATTTTTAATAGTGGAATTCTTTTAACATAAATAGTTTTTCTTTTTATATACCGTTATGTTCTTTTTTGCACCATGCAGGTGCACCGTATACCCTATAATGCAGATAAAGTGTTCTAATTTTATCCCTGGCCAGCCCCCACTGCAGAGACGAAAAACGAGCTAAATTAAATGCATGTTTAAGTACTTTTTTCATTGGGTATGCTGCGTGCGGAATAAACGATAGGAAAAACGATTCCTAAGATTTTGAATTTCTGTTTATTTTTGAACTAATTGTTGTTCAACTTGGTTTGTGAAAGATGCGTGTTGTATCTGCTTCCTGGAGCTAGTAGTAAACAGCAACATTTCGAGTAATTAAATTTTAAGTTTCCTTCTTTGCCCACTGTGTTATTTGGCTTAAAATAATGTCGGAATGCGTTCTGATTTCCAGGCGTGAGAATATCCGTCTACTGCAAGCACCACATTGTCTGAAAATGCCTGCATTTGTGCATGTATTCGAATGTTAGCATTTAATAGGTCGTGTATTACAATATTCCATAATAATGGACCCTCTGGGCATCCCAAAGTCAATTTCCTTTGTACTGCGTTCGGCTCTAAATTATAGTGTATAGTTCTATGGATAAAAATGAGCGGAGTATAGATTATAAATTTAGTAGACAGTTATCTTCCTTTAAAAAGTCTAGAATGGACCTTTTCCGAGAAGCGTTCTGCGCACGCGCGAGCGCCCGATGCCAAGCGCCGGAAGTCGGAACGAAAAATGGAGGAAATTCGGAAGGAGGCTGTATATCAGCGAGTAGAACACGTAACGGCAACATATATATAATTGTGTTACACAAAAAAAGAACGTCGACGGAAAGGAAAACACGGCGTTTGGGTGGACGCCACGGATGCCCCTCTTTCAAGTCGCGTTGGGCAGGCGCCGCTGCTCAGAGAGCGAAGAAACCGGTAGCGTAGCTCCCATTATCGATTGGTAGCGCAGGTAGGTCACTTGCTCGATTTTTAGCTCGTGCAGCCACCGCCTGGTGCCGTCGGTATGTCGAAAAGGTCCATTGAAGGGCAGCATACCGAGTCGAGGCTTCTTGAAAATCTAGCGGGATTATTACAGCGAACCTGTTCATAACTACGGTTCCGTGGAATTTTTGTGCGCGTGACTAAAAACTCTCCGCTCGCATCGCCGCACGCGCCGCACGCGCACGCCTTTCTCGTATAAGAGATTCAAAGTAAATAATCGAAACAAAGCGTTGACGAACGCGAGTGCAAGAAACCATTCGTTTTAGGCCTCTGCTTTAGGACAGTTACTGCCGCGGACGCCGGCAGGTGCGGCGCGTGGAACACCATTCCCTGCATTCTCCTTGATGCTTGGCTAATTTAGCAATAGGTCTATTCACTAAATTAGTCATCGATGGGCACCATTTTCAAGGTCAGCAGACTCTCAGGTAGATAATAAAGGTTTCTCTATGATTTGCCGCTGTGTGACCCACCCTCTCTTTGTCGTCGTTCCAAGCCCCCCCTCCCCTCCCCCCGCTTGCGTGCCTAGTTTCCTTTCCTTCCGCTCTCCCAGGGTGGTTGTCCCGTCGCGCGTGTCTACTTTCCGCCGAGTGGCGGTCTGGTCGCGTGTCTAGTTTTCTCCAGCTCCTGGGGGCGGGTCTGTGCAGTGTGCTCAAGAGTTCCGCTGGTCATCCACCTTCATAGAGTGGAATGGCTCATGATTTTGTACATATTTTTTTGTTTTAGTTTATTTTAAGTAATATATTGAGTTAAGTTATATAGTGCTTTTGAGGAAGATCTGTTATGGGCAAACCCAAACTCATTTTTGTGTGTTATAGGTTTGATTAGTTTTTAAAAAATACAGAATATTATAAAGTAATCGCTCTAAGACTTTACCAAGTAGAGAATTTAAACAGATTTGTCAATATGAGGTTGTAAGATTAATTGGACGTTCCGGTTTATTTAATAGGATTACTTAGCTTACTTTTCACACTTTTGGAAAAAAGCCCGATTGTAAATACGAGTTAAATATATTTATGTAAAAATGTGGATGATGAGTCTACATTTGTTTTATAATAGGACACGTTATTTCATTCACCTCAAGGGCTCTTTTTGCACATAAATTATTGATGATGGTATTTACTACCTGGTAACAGAATAGATAGTCGTCGGCGTTTACTGGTAATTCAAATATTTTATTTCTGGTATTAATTTAAAGAGCAGAGTCTGTGGATACGTCGCGACTTTAAAAAGGTTATCTAGTATATAATGTATTGATTCTAGCAGCGATGTGGTGCTGGTTCCATCTGTTTCGTTTATTGGACATATAAAAAGTGGTGCTTTAACTTCGTTAAAGGCGATTTTATAAGGAACTCCAAATAGTAAACTTTTTGTATTTTTATAACAAAAATTTCCTCCATCATGT